TTGGCATTCCCCAAAATGAATCTCACACTTAAATCTAACCAATATGTAAAAGAACCACACAGACGAAAACTACAACGCTTTGAGGAAAGACACCAGGAAAAAAGAATAAGCGGCCATATATTTTATGTCTGCGGATAGGGGACACAATGCTGTCTGTCAAATGTCAGTTCTCTCAGCTTGATCCACAAATTCAATGTGATACCCAATCAAAATCTCAGCAAGCTATTTTGTGGCTATTAGCAAACAGACTATTTCAAGAGAGAGAAGACCCTGAAGGGCCACTGCTATCCTGAAAGAGAAAGATCAAGACAGAGGACTGATCTCATCCAAATTTAAAGTTGTAGTAATTATGGTTTTGGTAAAAAACACAAATACATCAACTGATCTGAATAAAAGAAATACATACACAGAATTGGTTGACTTTGACAAGGGAAAAAGCAGAAAAAATAAACTTCTTTCCACTTTTTCTTTTTTTTTCGGATGCTGGAAATAAGCATCTTCATTAAGGATGCTACCTGGATGCTGGAGACAAGCATCCTCATTAAGGATGCTACCAAAATTTTGGCAAACATTTCAAAACAGGTTTGTAATCAGAGTGTCTCCCTTTTCAGCCACAGCACTTTGAAGAGACGATAGAAGACAACACAACTTGAGCCAACATTAGCCAGAAATCCTTATATTTGATCACATAACTTCTGTTCCCACATGGTAAGACAAGTGAAAGTTTAAGTCGGTGTTAAGATATAAACTCCCTGCAAGGGAAGTTTGTGCTGTTTGCTGGATCACAGTATGCTATGATGAAATACATCCACTTGTTTTTATATTTCCGGTATCCAGGATTTAAAAAAGTCAAACTATACATTTAATGTGGGAAATAGCTTCTTTGCAAATCTCTCTTCAAAAAACACTAGATGACAGTATAAAAACAGATTACCTACACATTTAGTTTCTCATTTTTCCACAAAATTATTGAGCTGCTTCATTTTTATAAATATCAAATTTGCCCAGCATAATCAATCTGACACACTGTAGAAATGCAAATGCCTGTCTTCCACAGCAGGAGAAGCAGCTGACAGAAACAAACAAACAGAGCCGACAGCCTACTATAATGCATCTGTTGTTGAACCTGAGCATACCGCCTACTGAGGAAGGAGCTCACATCACATCAGCTCTGCAGACATACAGGCTGAACACACACGTTCTGACATTCTGACACTGGGAGGCCACAGCATGCTTCCCATGGCTGGGAGCTGGAGGCAGTGTGGCTACTTCTTAGCCACACAAAAACACTTTAAGGCAGCCATTGCAATGCAGCTTTAATGCACAGGGCAGATCTAACTCCAGAGCCAGTCAGCCCCAACACGTGTATGTGCATAGAAAACCACACTACTTTCTATTTTTTAACCCTCCAGAACAATATTTTGATCCTTTTTCATTTTGTGCAAATGTTTAAATATTCTACCATTTAAGGCAAAGAGTTTACATTAAATAAAGGTTAGAAAATAGGCTTCTGTTTATCCAAATGCACTCACCTTGCACATTAATTACTTTGCTTTGTTCTAAACACACAGTTCCTGAGTGTGGGCATCGCATCCCTGATATCTAAAAAAAAATCATCTCAAATAACAATACCAGCCAGCTTTCAAGGGAAAACTGATTTTACACAGACACTGGATGCCTAATATCTAAAATATTGCTTCGACTAACAAACAAGTCTGGGCGGAGAGGAGAGGCCAAGGTAAAAAGCAACTTCAAAATTCAGAGAAGCAAAGTATAATGAAGGGAAAAAAGTAACTCAAGTTTACTAATACTGAAACTTCCAACAAGCAAAGTTACATCTTTTAGAACCTAGATCAATGGTTCTCACCTGTGATTCATGACTCCTTTGGGGGTTGAATGATTCTTCCACAGGGGTCACGTATCAGATATTTACATTACAATTCATAACAGTAGTAAAATTAGCTATGAAGAAACAACAAAAAAACTCACGGCTGGGGGTCAGCACAACATGAAGAATTGTATGAACGGCCGCAGCACTAGGAGGGCTGAGAACACTGCTCTAGAGCAGCTCATGGAGGACTGTAGATACATCAAACCTTCCGGTCCAAGCAGAATTCCAGTGCCATGACTCTGCTTGCTGTTGGTCAAATTCACCTATTAGTCTTTGGATGTGAGCCGGCTTGTTATGAAGACACCGCATCTATAGTTTTTTTTTTTCATGGTAGTGGAGGCAATGCAACCTTCTTTAATATCTTTACTGGGATTTGGACTGGAGTTACTCAGCTTGACAGTTTCTTCTCTTTGGAGGTCTTCATCCTTTTCCATGCTCTCAATACCATATCATGTCGTCCCCCCCCCCCTTTTTGAGACAGGGTTTCTCTGTGTACCCCTGGCTGTACTGGAACTCACTCTGTAAGACCAGGCTGGCCTCAAACTCAGAGATCTGCCTGCCTTTGCCTCCTGAGTAAGTAATCTTCCACAACTCGACATTCATAAACAAACCAACACAGGAGTCTAGACAGGCACCTCCATCTGTAAACAAACCAATACAGGAGTCTAGACAGGCACCTCCGTCTCCTCACAAAAACTAACTCAAATGAGATCATAGACTTAAATTTCTAGAAAGTAACACACAAAAAAATTTTCAGATCCATAGACAAAATCATCTCCTGCTGTCTTCAGTCTCCTTCACAGCTGCTTACCAATCCCTGTGTCTGAAAACTGCACCCAAACCCCCAGGGGAGAGTCCCTGCTCTGCTGACCTCACGGGTGGGTCTGGTGCACATCTTGTTTCATGACCTTTTCTTTGTTCTAATTATAAATTCTCACAGAATCTCTCCCACGGTAGGACATGCCATGTTCCTAGGTTATGGTCACTTACATTTGACTCAGACTTTGCCACTGCTTATGCCCTTTGAGACAGGCTATGTTTTGCATTTATCATTATTTATACAATAGTTTTATTCACAATTAACAAAAATTGGAAGCAACTAAGACACCATTCAGCAAGTGAATGCAAAATTAAACTGTGTTATATCTAGGCAATGAACTATTACCCAGTGATAAAAATTAACCAGGGCTGGAGAGATGGCTCAGTGGTTAAAATGTTTTTGCTCTTGTAGAACCCTGGAGTTGAGTTCCCACAACCCACATCAAGTGGTTTACAAGACCAAGGACCTGACACCTTCTTCTGGCCTCTACAGATACTCACATGCATGCACACAAACACACCTACACACACACACAAACACACCCACACGAGGAGGGGAATAAGCCTAAAGAAAAGAAATTAGCGATCAAGCCATAAGAAGACAGGAAGGAGCTTGCGCAAATTAGTAAGTAAAGGCGGATCTGTGAACTCTAACCATAGGCCACCCCAGAAAAGGCAGTGCTGGGAGCCAGTGAGAAGAGAGGGAGGGAGTGCAGACAGAGCACAAGCAGTTTCCAGGATAGTCATTCTACCCTGACATTCAATGACTCTCTGCCACACATCTGTCAGAACTCGAGAGATGGGGCAAGTGGATGAGAGCACCGTACAATCCTGAGGGGCCACACATTAGGCCTCCATTGTATACCAGTACCTCCAGCCCCAAGAGAGCAGAGACTGAGCAACCACTGGGGCTTGCTGAGATAAAGGGGTCCCTCGTTCAAGGAAAGTCCCTGCCTCGAATGAACAAGTTGAGAATGACAGATGACACCCAGTATCTCTTCTGGCCATTGCACATGCACTTAATTCCTTCCCTGCGTGTAAATGTGTGTGTGTGTGTGTGTGTGTGTGTGTGTGTGTGTGTGTGTGTGTCCTACCAGGAATGTGCCTACCAGGAATGGCCCTCACCTTGGACTTTGGTGGTGATCCTGAGCTAATGTAGGTCATGGCTTGTTCCCAGTGCCCCAATGTGGTAAGAATATAGAGAGAAGAGGGGAGGTAATGGTATGAGACAATGCACTTGTACAATGTAAAGATTTGTCACTGGCATTGGTTTAATATAATGCTGATTGGCCAGTAACCAGGCAGGAAGTACAGGTGGGGCAACCAGACTAGGAGAATTCTGGAAGGGGAAAGGTAGAGACACAGTCGTCATCCAGACACAGGAAGTAAGATGAGGATGCCTCACTGAGAAAAGCTACCATATGGCTAAACACAGATAAGAATTATGGGTTAATTTAAGTTGTAATAGGTAGTTAGTAATAAGCCTGAACAATATGCCAAACAGTTTATAATTAATATAAGCCTCTGTGTGTTTCTTTGGGACTAAACAGACAGCTGTGGACCAGTGGGTCAGAAACTCCCGTCTACAGGTGGATGTGTGGCACAGGAATATTCTGGATCTTTTGGCAATTTTGCTATGAACCTAAAACTCCTTAATGATGTGGGATTCCCCTCTGTATGCTGTGAATACCGTTGCTTAATAAAGGAACTGCTTTGGGCCTATGGCAGAGCTAGAAGGGTACAGAGCTAGGTGGGGAAATCTAAACTGAACTCTGGGAGGAAGAAAGGCGGAGTCAGGAGAAGCCAGTCAGCCCCACGGGAGACAGACGCCGGTGGGAACTTTAGCCGGTAAGCCACAGCCACATAGCGATACACAGATTAATAGAAATGAGTTAAATTAACATGTAAGAGTTAGCCAATAAAAAGCTAGAGCTAATGGGCCAACCAGTGATTTAAATAACACAGTTTCTGTGTGATTATTTCAGGGCTAAGCAGCCAGGAACCAACAAGCAGCCTGCTGCTACACCTTAAGAAAAAAATTAAGTCTATTTAAAATTTTTTTCATGAACTAAAACTTCAGATCCTGTGTTTATAACTTTCTTCTTTCTCTTTCAATAGATTCTGCTGGTCACCCACCAACGTCCTGACCGGAAAAGCAAAAGTGTGGTCTTGAGCAGTGTCCAGGTGCTCAAGGGATTCACTCTTTGCCCCAAGCCACTGCTCCTAGCGCTACACTCAGGCAGTTCACAGTTAGGAGGCCACGGAGCAGGCTCCGGTCCAGATACAGTACCTGGAGGGAGGGTCTCCACACTCTGTGCTTTGTCGTCTCCATTGCTGTGGTGAAGGTCTTTCTTTTTAATGGAGTCGATGTCATTCCAGTCATCCTGGGGAAACAAAGACACTGAGTGAGTTGTCTGCTGGCTCACCTTCACCCACTTCAAAGGCTGTGTCTCATGATGCTGTCACCCTGGGGCACTCAACAGTAAGCAGGGAGTGCTCCCAGCATGCAGGGACTCAACAGTGAACAGGGAGTGCTCCCAGCATACAGGGACTCAACAGTAAGCAGGGAGTGCTCCCAGCATACAGGGACTCAACAGGGAGTGCTCCCAGCATAGAATCATCTTCAGAAGCACCCAGAAGTCTAGACTACACTCTAGGACTCTAGGGAGAGAGTGGGAGGTGATCTCTGTGGGAACACACTTGTACTTCCTCTGGCTGTGACCTGATCACACACCAATAGAAAGATCACTCAGAATTCTGGAATCCCAGGCTCTGTGGTGAGTACCACAGCAACTATGTGCTGAGCACAGCATTGTCATGGTGGACAAGTCATGGGACCAAGGTAGGCCCTGGGAAATCTAGAAGGTTTGGGTCTCTGAGCTCCTAATATGTCAGAGGACACATTAATCCTACTGACGGTAAACCAAAAGCTCACAGGGGACTGCCAGGGAGCCAGCCTTCAGAGCAAGACATAAGCTCTGGTGGAAATTATTCCACCCATATGGGCAAGCAATTGGCTGTCGTTTATCAATATTAAATCAAACTAAATAACAGCTCCGCAGCCACACAGCTTAATGCATTTTCCACCCACTTCAGTCTGATTTCTGCAAATAAAAAGTGCTTCCGTGTATAACCCAGATAGGAAAACTCCCTGAGCCCAGCCTTGGGGAAGACCACTTCTGGAGCAAAGATGCTAGGCAGTGGGAACCTTCCCTGGCAGCCCCGCCTGCTCTCCACGTAGCCACACTCCTTGAACTGCCTGCTGTGTGTGTCTGCTGTGCTGTGCTGTGTGCGCTGTGCTGTGTGTCTGCTGTGTTGTGTGTCTGCTGTGTTGTATGTGCTGTGTGCGCTGTGCTGTGTGTGCTGTGTGCGCTGTGTTGTGTGTGCTGTGTGCGCTGTGCTGTGTGTGCTGTGTGCGCTGTGCTGTGTGTGCTTGCTGTGCTGTGCTGTGTGTGCTTGCTGTGCTGTGCTGTGCTGTGTGGCTCTAAGGAAGATTTCCTTGAGCTTTGGTAAACAGACATTCTTGCCAAACATTACTTGTCCTGCCCATAATCTGCCTTTAAGGGAAGTCATCCTGTCCTTGGCCCCTCCTCTCTCTGAAGTCTTTCCTTCCTCCCACGGTTTCTGCAGTACAGTGATATGGCTGGGTTTATCATGGGAAGGGCATGTGGGGGTGAGGGGAGGGGGATGACGGACACACTGACCCCCTCACTCCAAACCATGTCCTGAGCCAGCCCTGCCCATCAAAGCTTCTTTCCCAGCCTCCACTGGCTCCCAGCACTTTTTGCTCCACATGGTAACAAATGTTTTCACATTCATCTGGACCCTATTTACAAATTTTCTTGGGGCCAGAAGATTCTAAAATGATACTTGTAATCAGTTCTTCTGATGATTGGATTATAAATAAACTTTCAACCCACCACTGGTGATGATTATGCAGTGACCCTAGAAGCGCAGCGGCCTGTGCTAACTACAGCTGTGCAGTAAGGAGAACCATTAGAAACTAAAGCAGCCAGCTATGGCACCGCAGGGTTGCACAGTGCCATCTTTTAATTAAGGGTCCATTTCTACTTCATAGCGGGTCTGTCAGATTTTATGACTAATAATGCTTCCCCCTACCAGGGCCTCCACCCTCTCACATAGTCTGGCTGCTGGATCAAGCTATTTCACCTTGAATAAAACCGAATGTTGATGCTGTCTGTGGAGCTGGTGGCTCCAGGCAAACCCTAGTCTGTAGCTGTCACATAACCAACACATCCAGGTCAACTATCATCGTTTTGGTTTTTTTTTCTTCCCAAAATACACTTTCTTCCCACCCATCCCCCAACTTCCCTATCTACTGTGTCTACCAAAACCCTAATTCTGGATGGGTGGATCAGCAGAGTGAAAGGTGGCGAATATGAAGAACAGATAGCTCAAGGCATTGGTGGGGGTGGGGCCTAGGAGAAGGCACTGTCAGGGAATAGCTATCATGCACCCCACCCCTCTAGTGAAGTAAATCGCCAGGGGCTCATTCTGAACATGTCATTAAAATGCAAAAATATTTTTCTGAGGGTCAAACAGGACTGCTTTGTAGTGGACTTCCACTCAAAATCCCCAACAGTGAGAAGAAGGAGGAGGAGGAGGGCAGGAGAGAGCAGGAGGAGCCACAGCCTGGGCTAACCCCATAGAGGGACCGTCTATGCAGGCGCTGAGAGCACTGTGAATACAGCCATCACCAACCACACTGTCAAAGACCAAGTTGAGACACATTCTGAACCCAGGGTCCAGAGGGCTGGAGTCCAGGCTAGGACATCTACCGTGCTACCTTCTAAATGAGGTAGTTTCCCTCTCCATCAGATAAACCACTATAATGAAGGGATATCGTGGAAACTTCTTCAGCCAATAGCTTTTAAGATACTGGCCCACTTTGGGCGTGGTCTCATGTACTGTAAGTGCAGGTGAAAAGCATGTGTGCCCCCCCTTTTTTCTGGATTTGGTTCCAGGTTCCAGTTCCCAGCGCACGCAGAGGACTGCAGATTCCCTCTCTCCTTCAAGCCTATAAGCTACGCGTTCAGCAGGCACAAATGGCCTCTCCCCCCATGCTGTATGAACTTGGGCTAGAGCAGAGAACCAGCAAGCACTCTGGGAGGGCTCTGGGAAAGATTGTGCACTGTGTACAGACGTAAGTTTCAGGGAAACCCGAGGGAGGGGAGCAGTAAGGATAGGGATGGGCATGGGCAGCCCCCAACATGAAGCAGAAGACAGGTAGACAAGGGCACCTTGAAGTTGTTCTAAAAACTCTTTGAAGAGGCCAGGCCAAGTGGTCAAGATACAGATGCAGTATAAAGAAAGGTCACACTGGACAAGGAAGTCTAGGACAGAGAGAGATGGTCAAGTCTCACCAGAAAAAAAGAGATCAGAGGTGGCACCAGGAATCCAACTGAACACCCTGGACAAGGCAGGCGGCTCTGGTCTGGAAGCGAGGCGCACCTATGAAGCCCTGAAGGAGGAATCTGGAAAATGGGTGGAGTTCAGGGACATATATATCATTCATGCTGCCCTCAAGAAGAGACCACAGGTGGGTGAAAGTGGAGCATGAAGGGTCAGTACTGACAGAGAAGCAGAGCTAAGAGTCCTAGCTTAGAGCCTGAGCCCAAGCCTGGGCTTCTAGGCAGGGCCTAGTCAGTGATAATAAAGTCTCACTAGCACTGAACTTCAAAACTGGGAGTCTGCGTGAGCTACCATGACTTCCTGTGGCCCAGGTTTTCTGTCACTGGTGGCCTTTTACACGAGCTACTTATTACAAGCACAGCATGTAGCATGCAAGACCTGCAGGTCCTCTGTGGTCACAAGTACTGTTCATATTCCTTTGGTGTATCCTTGGCAGTGTGGTGAATGTAGCTAGACAACACGCTCCTCCACCGGTAAGCCATGACACTTTTAGCTAGACAACACACTCCTCCCTCCACTGGCCAGCCATGATCACTTTAAGACTCCTCACATCTGCAGGCATTAACAGCACACCTCATCCAGCAGCACTGTTCTAATATGAAAATGTCCTAATGTCACCATGTGGGGATGCCCTGTGCTCAGGACGCTTGTGTCCAGGCTGGAGAGCAGGCGCTGTGCTTCTCCTGCTAGAGTCTGCTTAGTGGTGGGTATATGCCTGTGAGGTGGGAGCAGGAACCACATGGTTTGTGCCATGTTTGTAACAGGCATAAAAATATCCCTCTGAAGAAAAGAGAAAATAAACAGGCTGTTTGAAATCTCCCCTCCTGAAACATATTTAGTCAATGTTAAATCATCTCAGTTACTAGACCATATGTCAGGCACAGAACAAGTCCCCAAAATACTCCTGAATGTCGGGTTCCTCAATGTCACCTGTCAGCATCATTTAGAGACTATTTGGTAGTTGTCACCGAGGCTGATCAGAGCAGCAACACTTGCGTTTATAAAAAGCCAGGTTTCCAGATTCTGAAAGAGGCGCTTACTCAGACACTCCATACCCACTGAGGGGCCATTCAGCCAGAAGCCAAGCTCTCAGAGCATATCAGACCACACCTCCCACAGCCAAGCTCTTCCACCAAGGGATCCAGAAGGACTCAGGGACTATTGGCTGCTTCTAATTCCTTGGGGTGGGTGTTCTACCATGGTGGAGCAGAAGAAAAACCACAAGGTTCTCCCAGACAGGGGGAAGCACCCGCTGCCCACTGTGTCAGGGCCTCACTTTGACTGGGAGCTACTTTTCTTGTTGTGACCAAATACCCGTAAGCAGTTTTAGTGGAGATAGTCCATCATGGCAGGGAAGGCATGGCTGGGACACCTTGTGCTAAGGGTGACAAGAACAGAGGCCGCCTGCTCACACCTCCCCGGGGAGCAGACACAGGACACAAAGAAAGGCTGGGTTGTATTTCCCAGGGCTGCACTGTAGAGATACACTTCACCATCTCCTGAAGTTTCTACAACCTCTCAAAATAGTGCATCAAACCAAGCAACAGACAGACTGAGTCTGGGCGAGGCCCCGGGCAGGAGGATCACACTGTACATTACAGGTTTCCCAACACAATCTCTGCACACACTGATCGCTCTGCTTTAGAAAGCAGTCTGAGCTTCATTTGTGGTAAAAGGCCTACTGGGAGCATAAGCTGGGCTAAAGAAGCAGGGCGGCCCTCCTAACCATCACCGGCTGTGGAGGGGCAGCCTGGAACCACAGTCATGCTTGACAGATGCCTGTTCCATCTCTGAAGCTGTTTTGTACCACACACAATGGAAAATAGTGAATCTTCTGGTCTCACCATGAAGGGATGGCACTGAGACACCTCTGAAGAACAGTAAGTGCCCACACCAGTCTTCCGAGCCCACACAGACAGCTCAGAGCCTTCACTGGGATAATAGCCGAAAG